CGAAAAGTCGAGAGCGACTGCGGTCGGACGGCGGATGAACTGCTTGGAACGGTGTCTTCCGTCTAGAGCACGATCACTGGAACATATCGGGCTCGCTGCTCTTCCGTCGGGATATATTTTCCAAGGAGCTTGCGCAAGAGCGCAATGAAGCCCTCATTGACGGCTGCCGTTTGAAGACCTCCATCGATCTATTTATTGATCCCTTCATTGAGTGATTGACGCAATTGTTGTCAGAGCGGCATTCCGGCGTCCACATTGTACGTTGACGCCGATCATCTGAAGGGGATCCGATTGAAAGAGAGAAGTCCGACGTGAGGTCGTTTATTTTTCCCGTTATGCCGCTCGGTCCGAATGTCTTGCGGACCAGGTGAGTCATTCCATCATTGACCGGAGCAAGTCTTGTGGAATCGGAATGAAAACTGAGCGCCACGCTGTCGGCAACGCCCATCGACGATGTCATTCCTCGAGCTTTTCACTACAATAGCGTCGACACTAACAACAACAGCTTGTACCAGTGCATGGGCAACGACGACAACGGCAGCAGCAGCAACCACGATTGCTGCTGCTGCGATGATGAGTAGCGTAACCGCCCTCGAATGTATTCCGCCAATTGAAATGAACCGCCCTCGCTCCGCGAGCAAACTAGTCACCGAACAAATCGTATCTCATGGCCAGCGTGCGTCGCCGCGAAAGCTTCGAAACACCCGAGCTGACTGCAATCAGAGTCGTATTTTGCCTTGCTGACGATGACAGAGGTAGAAAACGCTATTAGACTTGTCGTATCCTATCGAGACCATTCAGCATATGATAGGCTTCCGCGCCATTGAATACAATAAAACTCATAATCAGCTTGACAATGGGTTGTCAATGCCACCGTCCTGGTTCACGTTTTTTTCTGCCTCGCTGTCTTGCCGCCACCAGTACCAGGGCAACGTCACTCACACGTCATGCGTGGCCGTCGCAGAAGACTCCACGAAATCATAATGGTAGCCTAAATTGGAACAAATTTCCTAGACTGACTAGTATTTTCTAGGAAGGGAGGCGAGCTACTGTGAGCCTTGGCGGTCAGCCGTAATATTCCCGAGTCGCGCGCACACGATTGTGTTTGTAGAAGAAAAAGATTGTTGTAGGCCGATAAAATCGAGCAACAACCCGCTCGCATGCTGTAAAACTCAAATGTGGTCGCTGTGATCGAGCGAGAGAGATAACTTCAGATAAACGATATGACGATGACGACGTCGATGAGGGCGACTCCAGACCGTTGTGGACGAGCGTAAACACACAGCTAGTTGGAAACGTCGACTTCGCCACCGACGACTGTGTTCGGTCGTTTGTACAATGTTAAAAGGCAATAAACAAACGTAGATATAGGGAAGATGTTGAAAGTATAGAAAACCGACGCGTTTCATAAGAAAGCCTCAACGACATCTCAAGCAACAAATTGAAATTTAGCGGCGGCATCAGCCTCTTCAACAACAAAAGCAGGAGCGAAAAGCGACCAAAACATTATCATCATGATCATCATCATCAACGACATCATCAACAATCCAGCACTCATAAAAAAATCATAAAAATCCCTTATCAAAACACCAGTCCAGCTCGCGGTGATGAATTCATCTGTGGGATGCCTCGTTCGAGATCTTTCTCCTGCGTTTTCGCCTCCTCTCGTCTCTGATATCCCCCTCGATTGGAACATCCAGATCACGTTCCGATCCGCTGTAATCCTTCAGAAAAGTCGCGAGATCACTGAAGAGCATTCGATAGTCGTTCCATCTGTATTACAAATGTGGATCGTCCGGGAGAGCGCTCTTCAAATTTCCGCGTTTAAGATCTGCAACAAGGATCTACTTCGTGTGTCACGGTAATTCCGTAATTTGCTGTCTTACAGCAGGCGCGGCGCTTACCGGTCCGCGTCGGTGAAATAACTTGCGCAGCTGCTCGATCACGCGATTGAGATTTTCAATTCCGGATTATCGGCCGGAAGATCTTGGAGACGATAGAAAAGAATTGCGAGGGCCGGCAGCGAGGAGGAGCTCGCAACACCGCCGTGGAGCACTCCTCGTGGGAGGATCTCAAAGACGAATTCATTGGCGCACTCCGGGCCAGAAGCGCTTCGAAATCAAAAACTCTCGAGGTCTTCGCGGTCATCGAAATACGATGGCTGTAATGAAGATCGCATCATCATGGCGATGAAGCAAACCATCATCATGCTAACCTATACTCCTCAATCAATGGGTCAAGTTCAACAATTTTTCTCATCGGGAAGTGTCTCACTGGCGATACTTTTCTCCGTGGAGGAGCGCAATCCTTCTCACGGTGCAGGGACTCCGCATTAATTACCTCAGATATCGATCAAGAAATTCCGAGAATACACAAGATTCTTCATAAGGCGTCAATCAAGCGTCGTACGCAGCGGAGTCGATCCCTCGACGTCCCAAGAATTCTAAGATTTGGCACGCAGTAGTTTTCTCGGAATAGTGAGCAGAGCGATTGCATAGTTCAACTAGATAGTTGAGAGTAGCGAAGAGAAGGTCCATGATTCAGAAGTGTGGGTGCTGTAAATTCAAATCATGCAGAATCATCGAACAGCCCGCATTGTCCCCATCTTGTTGTGAAAGGCAATCACGTCGAGTCGTTGACGTCTTTACAGACGTTGCAACGGTTACGTGGAACGATGAACACGTCTTTACGTACGGAAGTACACGGGATGACATCCCTACAGTCGAAGCCTTTTCAATAGAACGTCGAAGCTGACGTACCTCAAGGCTTCTTGTCTGGTCCCCTCTTCCGATGAACTGCGCTGTTCCCTCAGTCCCTCGGAGGCTCTTTCCCCATTGTGGACAGAGAAGACTGATAGCGAAAGTTCGGACGGGGTACCGTTCGGTAGAAGAATTCGCGCGAAAGTGACGCTCGATCGTTCTACGGTCTACCGAAGTGATGATTCGAATCGCAAGCCGCGAACGGAAGAGAACGGCACTCGGTGAAGCAGCAACCGGTGAAAAATTAGTCTGGCCATCCATCTTCAGCCGAGAAGACGTTGAAGTCGACCGTGGTGAGGGGTCGGTAATGATGATCAAGATGAGCTTGTATTTAGATTCGTGCTCCCTGAGGTACGCCAACGATTAACAAAGTTGCACATCTAAAACGGGTCTGAAGATTCGGCGACCGGCGCCGGAAATTCACCATCCGACCGACTGGCACTGACCAAAATTCAACATTGCGGAAGAAAATCTTCCACGGAGAATCCTTCACAAAGCTGGCGCGCGCTCGTCCCGACTATCGGAGGAAAACCCTCGATCGGGACATGGAAAGAATCCGGCATCGACTTGCGTTGAGCGATTATCAGCAGATAGGAGAAGTTTACGGTTTGAGAGAATATTTTCAATCTAATTGATGACACAACTCGACCCGATCAATACCAGCCGTGTAGTGATAAAACACGGTGGTAATGATGACCGCAACGTTCCGCCGCCATGTTAATTACGACCGGAAGGGCAGCGTTTACCTCAGTGACGTGTTTCGCATCCACACCGATCCGGAAGGAGATTCCCATTTCCATAGAGGCTGGTCAGCGCTCTGTGAATGGAAAAAAAAGCGTTCGATTGATTCCAGCTCCGCAATGCAATCAATTATGGACTGCAGCGGCTGCCACATTCATCAACAGTGATGGAAACGAGTGAGCGAACACTGAACAAAGGGGGAAGTTTCCATCGCAGATGTTCGGGCAAGATTGCCGGGCGATCCGAACAAGAGCATAGAACGCTATCTGTCATTCGCGGATGCAGTCAACTAGAAAACGGAATAGATCATCGGACAATGATAGAAGATCCCTTCGAAAAGGAGTTTCGCTCACGAAGGGATCGAATTTCCTGATCAAGATCAGTGCCTTGATTCCGTAGGGAAATTTCGCGGGCAGAGGTTGGAGAACCACAGTGAAAACACTTGCGAGTCTTCGACCGAGTCACAGCCAGGGTCTCGGGAAGTCGTCGAGCGAAATTGGTTGTTTTTCCGCGACGTCAAATTTCGTCGTTCCCTTCATGTTTGCTAATAGCTCGAGGAATGTTTGTCGAATCGCCGATAAAATTCGTTATACGGACGAACGCTTCGCGCCTCCGTCGGCGTCATAAAATCGTTGTGTCGGCAGACGGCAGTAGCGACGGTGTTCACTTCCGACTGCCACTAGTACTAGTCGCGTAGAAAATAGCGGTAGTGCTCATACGAGCTGGTGAAGAGCTGTGAGAATTTTTCTTATCTTCCAAAACACTCAGTCATGTTCTTCAATGATTCTTGAGCTTCATTCCTACTCAGGTGAATCTCGCCATCCCAAGTCAAAGGGAAGCAGCCGGCTCGTGATATTCCGAATATTTTCCCCTCGCGGAGAAGGGTGCGCGAAGGATTGCGACCCGGCAAAGATTGGCGTCGGACCAGTGTTGTAAAGTTTTACGAATCGTTCGAATAGGGTTGCGGCCACGTCATGAGAGGTGCCCGACGACATGATCGCAGGATCAGAATGACCGGATCTAGTCGTACCTAGTTGCGTCCGGATTAAGGAAAGGTATCAGGTCTGGCGATCATTCTACTATTGTTTCCGTTCTCCGCTCGATTCCTGTTGTGGTTACAGCATCGAGTATCACAATGCTGTCACGACCGTTTGCACGCGCGCAGCCACAATGGGCCAGAAATTACAAAGAATTCTTACGATCCGTTTAAATTGAATAGTACATACGTCACCTCTCCCGTAGAATCCCGTTCCGCGCATCGGCCGCCATCCTGATGATCTCTCTTCTCGGGCGCTTAATCGCTGATCCGGCACCCCATTCGCTGCCGCTCCGACATTTCAAGTGCGACCTGTTGTTCTGTGGGCGAAGATCGATCGACTGACAGAGGGAGTGAGAAAGATGGACTCGCTCGCGGTACGAAAGCTCATCGAGGAGTAATGACTAAAGTGGTATTTTCCTTTTCTTTCAGGTAAATAGCTCAAATTTATTTATTTAACAAAGATGATAAGCCGTAGGCGGATATTGTCTCGCTCTCGAGATGAACTCGAGAATATCGAGGAAGAAGATGTTTGGTACCAGCGGGACAGACTCTTCAAGGTAAGCTGTCGTTCTGTTTTGTCTTCTCCCTTTCCCAGAAATGTGTCGGATCTATGGGTGCCTGGGTCAATGAGACATGTGCATGGGGTAGTTCGCGGGAGACATCCTGAACGGAATGCATGACCATGACTATTTCGGAGGAGTGTTTAAGTAGGTACTATCAGCTCAGGGAATTATTTGGGACCAAGCGCCGCAGCATAAGACTGCAGAGTTGTCTTGGCCCTCCATCGCTATCGAGCTTGACCCGGTGGCCGAGTAGGACTCCACAAGATTCACTCTACTCCCCCTGCTTCCCTCCCGGATAGGGATCCATCGGCTGGCATAGCTAGATTACGGAAAAGTTGATTCCTCTATTGCCGCGACTTTCCGTTATGTAATCCCTCACGAAGCTGGAGATCAGGCGACGTATCCAAGATATCCTCACTTTGCGAAGGAAGTCAGGGAATGGGATAAGAGAACGAACATTCGCTCGACTGACTGAGTGGTGCATTACGTCGAGTGGACTTCGGAGCTGGATGGTTGTAGAGAGCTGTCACATATCAGCTGGTCGCGTGGGTTTTCGGCTTTTGCTCGCATTTCGAATTGTATCTAAGTCCAGTTTCTGTCTGGGTGGCCGAACGACGTCCTCCGGGTCGGTCTCTTGAACGACGACCGGCCACTGCTTCTGGACCAGGTCAAAGAGTCACGGCGGGTGGATTACGTTGTCATCCGCGATCCCTGATTTCGGAGTTGCAGCTGCCTCGGAAGTAAGGCGGAGCAGTCTTACGAGATTGATTCCCAGTCGGACTGGAAATTCACCCGCCCGAGGAGCTCCCTGAGACTAAATCAGATCCGTTTCCACGACCAACCTCCCAATTAGCGACGTGAGCGCAAGCAATCATCGGATTGAGAATGGGAATGCAAGAAAAATAGATGTGACTAATTCGCTAATCGACTTGGACGGCGAAGCGGCGGGACTCGCGACCCAATTCTTCTTCGAAATCCACGGCGGAGCTCGACTCGAGGGCTAAATTTGTCAAAGTGCTGGTCGCACTGAAGCGACCGATGCGCACAGGGCCGGAGCGTCAGGTTGGCTTCATTAAGGAATTCGAGGAGACTTCGGGGTGCCATCGACTCCCTTCCACCTGCTCCTGCAGGCGGTGAGAAAATCGCGTCAGAGTGCCAACCGTGGCGGCTCGGGAGGCAACGACGACGACACCGAAGACAACAACAGCAACATTGAGCAGAAGCAAAATGACGTTGTGGCGTAATGGCCGATCAGACAACAAGCGTCCGGGTGTGTCTTCTCTGAGGTTATGTTTTTTGCGTCGATAACGCAAGACAAACATACCATCAAAATTCGTTATCAGCACGAAAAGATGGATGCTGCGCACGTGCGAGGTGTCGGTGGAATCGAACCGATTCAGAAAAAGAAGGAAACTGAATCGATCGCTGATAAGTGCTTATCGGGTTTCGTAGCGGGTGTGTGCGTGTGTGAGGTTCTGCGGTTGTGACTGAGCGAGTCGACGTAGGTTCGTCCGTGGATCCTCAGTCCATTCGGCCGACGGCCGGCCGATGGACGTAGCGCCTCCAGCTCATCAAAAGGGGCACGGCAATCTTTGACATGTGTCCCTACAAACAAGTCTCGACGCCTCAGCATCGCTAAAGCAGTACAAATTTCTTCATCGTTCGTGGATCAATCGGCTTGATAGCCCGGGGTTCGAACCCATTCCTCGGGAAGTGTTCCCCCAAAATGAGGATAAATCACCGCCCCACGCGCTCGAAGAACGAGAAGAGCAGAAACAGCCTCAATGTCGACCTGGGGCACAAAACGACGTTCGATAATGGTTTCCGAGAGTTTCTGACGGACTGTGTGAGCTGAAGAAAATATGACAGACAAGCATCCGTCACGACGCCGACGTTCCCCATTCTCTAATGGAGGACACCCATCGATTGGGATTCGACGGGGCCCGTCACATTAAACGATGCTGATCACGTTCCAGTAGCTCGGCTCGCCGAGAGCTGTGCTGCCACAAACTGTCAAATCGCTCAAGGTTGCTCGCTTGTACTTCATTTTTTTCTCTTCCCTTGGCGCTGTAGTTTTACCGGTCCATGACACAGGTGAACACCCAAGAACTCGCTCCAACGCGTCACTTGCGCGGCATCAACCTCTATAATGATTTATATAATCCTGTTCGCCGCTTAAGGGCGACTTTGGTCAACATCAGAAGACCGCGTCGGCTTCGGGTTTTCTGAGTTTCTGTCGTCACGACTGACGTCCCGGGAGAGGAACCCCTGTCATACAATCCTCAAAAACCTCCGGATTCACTGCAAGGAATCGGAGATCGGATGCATCGAAAAAGGGACGGAGGAATGATTTCCTCTCTGCCGTCGCATTGAGCTGCACATCAAGGATACCGTTACGTTTGGGATTGCGATTACTCGCCGTCTCGTGCGACCCGGTTCGATCCGCTCTTTCAGTTTCTCCTCAACGTTCGATGACAGAAAGCCCTAACCCTCGCTTGGAGACTCTGATCGCACAGGAAAAGAATCGAAGGAGAGAACAAAGCGATTGAGGTACAGTTCTTTGACGGAGACGCTCGAGACGCACGACGTGCTGCGAAGGTTATTGGGCGTCGGCGACCTCGCACTGCCGTTCAAGTCCGTCCATTCGTTCGTCTGCTCAGCGTTTCCGAATGGTTCCAAAAAGAAAAAAAAGAAAACGAGAACACGGTAGAAAACGCCAAGTGACCATTTGGCATTCCAAAACGGTTCACGCCTCCGGACGGACACTGGCACCGGTCGTTTTCTTGTCCCTTCGATAATGACTTCGGAATTACAATACGAGGGTTTCGAGATCGAGCGTCACCCAAGTTCCTGGGAACCATCAGATAAAGTTTCGAGCTTGAGAATTGCCGAGACGGAAGATCGAGTCCACACAGGAGAAGGATGAGCCCGGAAATTATTCCGCTAGTATTGAAGATACACTTCACCAACATCGACAGAGCACGTCTTCGACATCACGAACTTCGCCACCGTGGTTACCGAGCCAGATCGACTCTTCGTTTGATGTTATCAGCCTCTCCGACTCCGTTAATCCAACGATTCTGTTCACCGAACAGGAAATGCTCTTTTTGCCGTTAGCTAAGACCGACACATCAATGACCTTGCCCCCACACCCAAGGACAACGACGGCGGCATCGCAAGAGCGGCTCGGTCTTCGCAGAATCGCCGACTTGATTCATAACCTGTAGCCGCGAAGATTACGGAGGACTCATTCTCTCGCTCGCTCAATCGGACCGATAATGATGACGATTTTCCGCTGTCGACGGAAGGCGGTCCCAAATTAGCGGATCTTCGCGTCCACGCACTAGGCGGGCAACTGGAGATCCCGGCTTTAAGGGAACGGAATCTCTAGCGATCCGTCCGGTCCTCGGCATTGGACCTCATTCACGCTCCCAGTACGTGATTCACAATTTCGCGCGCAAATTGAGATTGAAGGCGCAGACGTACCGATGATCCGCCAACGGTAGACGGAAGCGAGAGGGATCTTCGCCGGCATGCGGCGTCGTCTATGGGCCACTCTCGGCGCTTCCAAGGTTGCGGAGAAGACATTTCTGCGGCCGAATCGTCGAGCGTATAATTGCAACAGATAAAGAAGGAACCGTCGCCTGCGCGGCGCGCTTTCGTTCGGGCATCTGAAGAATCTGATCGGCGCGCCGCGGCGCAAGGATGACTCGAAGAGCCAAAATGCAAATCAGAACTGAAGACCTTGGTCCGGAGTATTTGTTTCATACACAACGAGTATATGCGTGCTGACGTGATCCCGATTCTCTGGCTCGGGTCGATTCGCTACAAAGCTGGATTTGGTTGTGGAAATATTGTTTTGTTCCGACGCCGACGTTGCCGGCGGTGCGTCAGCAAGAGTTTGACGCGCTTCGATAGGCGTTCGACATTCGGCACGCCTATGTCATTTTTGCAAGGGTCAGCCTTACCAAGAGTCCGGTCGCCCTACCGAGCAACTTGTCTTCCGACTTCTGGTAGCGCTGCCGCTCTTGCACAAAAGTCTTCGGGGAGTTGTCCACCCATAGGCGGTGGACTGAGATCGATACCAAAAGCATCGACTCCTTCACCGCCACGAGCGGCTTAGACCGTTCCAAAAGGCTCGCCTAGCCAGGATTTTCTCTCGCTGCCGGGCTCTTGGGCCGACTCGCTAAGGGCGTGCCTCGTGTATCGATGCTGGAATGAGGTAGAAGACGGGACGGCAGAAAAAAAACGCACTTATACACGGTCAGACTCCGCCCCGGAATGCAGGGAGACCTTCAGATCCAGTTCGGTATTTTGCAAGTTGTTCGCCGACGAAAAGTCCGCCACCAGAAACTTGCCAAAGAGAGCTGGCTGCCCAAATCGGACGGCATTCTGTCCACGGCGACGTTCCGGTCTTATCTCGGTCTCATTTTGTTGTCAACTGTCGTGGCCGTCGGCTACCGGACCCTTATGCGTAACGAGACAAGAATGAATATCTGCATAACGGTTCGGGAAACGGAACATTTTTCGCCGGCAGCAATCAATTAAACGCCCAGCGCTCCGCGAAAAATGGAACATTTAAGAAAACCGATGGTTCCCGTGTCTTTCTCTTTCATTGATCCTTGTGTAACGAGTGCGAATCTCGTCTCACTCACTGACTGACCCATTTGGTCAGGCGGTCGGACAGTCAGTGAGTTCTATGAGGGGTGTCCGAACACCTAAATAACGCTACGACCAGCGAATGCGTCCGATATTAAACATTCCTCTCATGATGTAACAATGCGTTCGGTGATAAAGTAGGGGATTACGCGGATCGGTCAACATTCGTTCGGACCGAGACCGATATCTTGAAAAACCTTGCGACCCGAAGATAGACAGACGGCTGGGTTCCGAAGACTACCGAAGCTCATGCTCGTCTGAAGACCAAAGTCCATGGTCTGAATTCTCATGTCTGAAGACTGACGTCTGAAGCACGAAATCCGACTTCTTCGACC